GCTATTTAACCCTAGCTCTAGACAAACTAATTTCAGGGTGATAGACTATTAAGAAGAAAAGATAACTCTTCTTAGGGCTCCTGCTAAGGTCTCCGCTCTCAGTTGCGTTGCCGCGGAGAATCTACATCTAGGTGCTGGAATATTAACCGGCTTCCCTTTTAAGGGTGCGGCGCAAGCGCCAACATTAAAACGGAGTTTCCCTATCTCTTAGGATTAACTAACCCGTGTCCAACTGCTATTCACACGGAACCTTTCCCTACTTTAGTCCTTAAAGTTCTTATTTAAGTATTTGCTACTACTACCAAGATCTGCACTAGAGGCTGTTCTACCTAGGGTTACCCCTAAGGCTTCGTCACAAACCTCCACGCCTGCCTACTCGCCAGGGCATAATTTCTGCCCTAGCGGCGGGGTATAGGTAGCACGCTTAAGCGCTATCTATTTTTAGGGCTAGTTTATTTGGCAGGTGAGTTGTTACACACTCCTTAGCGGATTCTAACTTCTATAGCTACTGTCCTGCTGTCTAGATAAACTAACACCTTTTGTGGTGTCTAATAAGCGTGCATTCTGGCACCTTAACCCCGCGTTTAGTTTATCCCGCATTGCCAGTTCTGCTTACCAAAAATGGCCTACTAGTAACGATACATTTAAATGTCCACGTTTAATTAAGAAACAAGGACTTCTTACATATTTAAAGTTTAAGAATAGGTGAAGGTTGTTTTAACCCCTAGGCCTCTAATTATTCGCTTTACCTTATAAAACTGAAAACGTTACTGCTATCCTAAGGGAAACTTCGGCAGGAACCAGCTACTAGATAGTTTAATTAGTCTTTCGCCCCTATGCCTAAATTTAACAATTGATTTGCACGTCAGAACCGCTGCGAGCCTCCACCAGAGTTTCCTCTGGCTTCACCCTATTCAGGCATAGTTTACTATCTTTTGGGTCCCAACAGCTATGCTCTTACTCAAATCCATCTAAAGACATTAGGATTGGTTAATAGTGCACCCCAAGGGGTTCCTACCTCTGTTTACTTTTATTACGCGCTTAGGCTTGACACCTAAACACTCGCATAGATGTTAGACTCCTTAGTCCGTGTTT